TTGCTAAGATACAGTTTGTCCTGCATAAAAATATAGAGAAATGTGAATGAATGCTGTTTATATCACCTCCAATATTTTAATTTCCTTCTGAATGAAAGAAATTAGAATTTTTATTTTTGTCCTGTGGTTAACTTTTATATTTATGGCTTCCTTTATGAAATTAGGTAATTTCCAGAGCCCTGTGGAACTTCTCCAAAGCCCTTTGTTTTTATTTACAACTCAGTGATTGCCTTCTAATTCAAGAACAGTGAGTTAGGAAGGGTAACTGACTCTAACTACAGTTTCCCCGTCACAGAGAAGGTTGTGCTTACATTGCTACGGGCTGTACTTTGTTCGACTTTGTTTTATGCTGTGGCTCCAAGAGGCCACAGATATCCCTGACTTTCTTTCAAAAAGCAAATCTCCCCATGGTTCCTAAAGAATGGAAGACTAGTAGTATAAGGTAAAATTGTGAGACTTCTTAAGAGTCCATCAAATTCTCTTGAGATAGTGATATGTAACAGTGTAGTCACCAAAATTGAATTCTGTCAGTGGGAATTCCAATGGAATTTTTGCGATAGAATTTTGCTGACACTTGAAATAGTTTATGAAGGAACGACAGTATTCTCTTGCTTTTTAAAAACACAGAGTACTAAGGAAAAATAAAAATTCCAATAAAATAGAAGAATTAGGGCCATGCTTCACACCTACACACAAAATTTACTAAATTACTTTTAATGGCAGAGACTCCCTCTGGCTCTAGATTTCTTTTGGAGAAGAGACATTTGGAAAACTGTTGAGCATTTATGTAAATTTTGCTTTCTAGCCCATCTTGTATTTCAGTATAAAAGAAGTTCAAAATTGCTTGTACTTCTTCACCTAAATATTCATGTTTCAGGAAAATGAGCTGTTTTTGCCTCAGAGCTTCTTCTGAACCCTGTCGTTTTCCTTTTGCCTTAACAGCAAGAGTACTAGAGGTTTGCATTGGGAAGCCCAGTTTAAGGATATCTGTGGTATATTGGTTGTTTGGGATTTCATTTCAGTATCCTAATCTAAATTTCATTCTTTTTATTTTATTTTTTTACCTTTGGGGCTTCTTAAAGATTAAGTGGGAATTAAATGTTAGAAACTGTTGGCAAGATAATTACTAGTCTTTTTTTGCTTTTCTCATTTTTCTTAGAAAAAGAACAAACCGAAGGAGCCACCCACAGTGCCCAGATCAGCACCGTTTTTCATTCCAACTGTTCCTGGCCTTGTGACCAGATACGCTGCTCCTGAGCAAAACAGTGACCCTCAGCAGGTGAGAGCCAGGCTAGAGGGGGCGTTCTAGGGACACGGGGCGTGTGTTGTATGTTGTGCGTTTGTAGTTTTAACCAAGACCCAGTTTTACAGATACAGAGTAATTAATGCTAGCTTTTAATTATAAACTTTACATTTTTTGTTATATTTGTGGTTTCTGAATAATGTGTATTTATTTTTCTTTAAGTCTAAAGTGGTAAATCTTGGGATTTTGGCTCAAAAATCAGATTTCTGCTTGAAGCTTGAGGAAGGACTGGTAAATAATAAATGTAAGTTAAATTATAAAATATTTTACCAAGTATTTCAGCTTATTATGTTACTTTATATGAAGAGAATTGAGTGAAATATTAGCAGATTTCTCAGTAGTTGAAAATAAAAGCCAAAGGATTGAAATCTTGGTTTTAATCTGAAGTAATTTTTACTCTGTTTACAGTAGATGAGTGACACTACACTCAGATGTTAAGATGATAATAATCTTTTGAGAACCTCTCTTTCTGTATGGAAAATTGGAATTTTTTTCTTTTTTGCTCTTCTTTTTATTTACAAGTGCAATTTGCAGTGTACTTTGCAATAGACTTTTGTTTTCAGTAATTTCAGATATTACCAAATTATCACACAAAAAGGCTTTTTAAAAAAATTGAGTGTTTTAAATTTGAAAGCTGGAATCTGTAGCTAATAATGATAATGAGAGCTGTAAGCAATTAACAGAATTACAGTCATTCTCCTGTTTGACTTACCCTCTTGTCTTCTGACCCAGTTGCTTTGTGTTTTCATGCCAGTATCACTCGAGTGCACATTGGCAAAAGTCAAAGAATGGTACTTGTACTGATAGCTAAAGAGTAGCAGGATTATTAAAGGAGTAACTTGTTATATTTATGAGGGAACAAAGAAGAAAGGCACTATTATTTAATATCCACTGAAAAACAAAATGTATTAGACTCTTGTCAATGGTATTGTTCTTTTGCAAAAAGCTAAAAGCATAGGCATTGCCATTGTAATATCAAATGCCTTATATAAGTATAGAATATGTTTTCATGGGATGTATATGAAACAAGAGTGCTTACTTCTAGGGAAAAGTAGATTTGTGGTGAATAAGATGGAGTCTTTCCCCACGTATATTTCTGTAGTATTAATGTTTGTTAATTAACAAGTGATACTTTTATAATTTTTATAAACAATACAAAAATAAATTCCCTCACCTCATCTTATTCTCACTAGCAAATATTATTAATAACTTGGTGTATATCAGTAACTTGGTAGCCTTCTTATATTGGATTTGTTCTGACTGATGTATAAGCATGTTAAAATGTCTGGTGCTAAGTGTTAATTAGATTTTAACAGCCTTAATAGAAAGAAATTGCTAAAAATGCAAATTTAAATATGTTGGGTTTGAAATGAAAACTAGTTTCTTAAATGAAATGATTGTCGGTAATAACTGGATTCTTATTAAAACAATGTAGATGAAGCTGCTGTTACCCTTCTGAAAGAATTAGGCCCATCAGGAATTGAAACAGAGCTTCGAAGCTTGTCTCCTGATTGTGGTGGTTCAGTAGACATTATGAAGAGCTTCTTGAAGATGATTGGGATGATGTTGGACAGAAAGCGTGATTTTGAGTTGGCCCAGGCATACCTCGCCCTGTTTCTGAAAGTAAGTCTAAGATGTGAGATAGCACTTCACAGCTTGCCCTCCTCCAGAGTAGTGTTGTCTGATAGAAATGTCTGCAGAGATGGAAACATTCTATATCCACACTTCACTGTGTGTGGCTACTGAACACTTGAATCGTGGCTGATGTGACTGAGAACCTGAGTTTTTCATTTTATAGACATTAATTAATTTCAGCAGCTTTCTGTGCCTAGCGACTACCGTACTAGATAGCTGGACGGGGCAGCAGCTTCTAAATGTTCTTTGTTGACTTCTGTTTTTTTAGCTCAGCACAATTTTGACTCAACCCCCTGACTTCTGTGTCATCCATTTGATCAGTATATTAACCTATTAACATTTTTATTTTGTTACATTTTGGCAGGGGTTTTTTTTTAATGGTCATGAAAAAATTAAGGTTTACTTTTGTCCTGGTTGAAGGAGTTTCAAACGATTTGACAATAACAGAGTTGCTTTTATGACAAATATAATGGAGAACTCATGTTTATCTCACTGCTATAATATATTGAAGGAGGTAGATTTTCAGTAATAGCAGATAGATTATTTATCTCATAAATATCTAAAAAAGTTTTCATTTGACTTAATTATTTGAAATTATTTAAAAAGTAGATTTATAGATGGTAGTATGTAGGATAAAAAATTAGCAATGCTGCAAATTGTTCCTGTATTTTTTCCCAAATTTACCACAGTTGTAAATTTAGAACTAGGACTTTGCTTCTTGATGTGTATCAGGACTCTCCTTACATAGAGGAGAGTCATTACTTCAATTTTACTGAGAGAGTGACAGAACCATGAAGACTCATAATAGAGAAGAGGGAGATGTGAGATTGCAATAAACCAGCCTTTAAGGAAAAAAATCAAGAATAGTGTCTTCTAAGGTTCCTTGTAAAACAGTTAAATCCAGAATAAACAAAAATTTTAGATTTCTTAAATGTTCAGCTATCATTTTTCTTTTCAGTTGCACCTGAAAATGCTTCCTTCAGAGCCAGTACTTTTGGAAGAAATGACAAAGTTGTCATCACAGTTGGAAGAAAGCTGGATCCATTTACAGTCACTCTTTAATCAAAGCATGTGTGTTTTAAATTATATTAAAAGTGCTTTGTTATAAAAATAGTTATGTAACTAAATCAAAGGCTTTTATATTAAAGAGGTTCAATTTAACTCATACCCTTGTTTTCCAAGTTTCAATGTGAAAGGAAGATAAATGCCAGCACTACTGACTAGTCAGTCACTGTGACTCCACTTTAAATGCTGAATATTTTCTTGAAATAAAATTAAACCTATCTTTTGTTTTAAAGATGTGAAGAGTCTTCTCAAGGGATACATTTTGTTAGTTTCTTCATCAGTTACTTGGATGTGACTTCTTTTGAATTGTCATCACCAAGCTTGTGTTTTTTGAATGTTTGTTACATGCTGAGGTATGCTGGGTCTCTCATGTAAAGTATTGCCAAGTTAAACTGAAGTTAAAAGTGATACACAGTTTAAAGAGTACCTTCATGTTATGAGGTAAAAAGGCATGTGTCTTCCATGGGTGGCCTTGGATGAAAACACAGTTAGAGCTGGAAGGCGTGGCAGTGCCACCTTCTTGCATTGCAGAAGAGGAGACTGCTGAGTTCCACCCAGGGTCTCAGTGACAGATCCAGATTTTTCTAGCACTGGCCTAGTCCTCTCTCCATTGTACCCTTTCTACAGGAACTAATTTTTTTTTTTTTTTTTTGCCATGAGAGGTGCTTTCACAAGCTTGCTGTAGGAGGCAGTTGAACAGATACCTGGAATGGGTGAGGGGAATTCCAAATTCCATTGAAGATAGCCTTGAAAGGCCTTTCTTCCCCACTGATGACCTTTTCATTTGGAAAGAATGCTGACGACATTTTTCTGTCATAACCATTGTGGAACCAGCCAGCTCTGGCACGCTTCCCTTTTTCCATCGTTATTTCTGTGGTTCAAGGCTTCAGCAGTATGTCAATTAATAATAAGCAATTCTTAAAAGCTTATTTTAAGAATAAAATAAAAAAAGAATAAAATAAGGGGCGGCAGATCCGAGCGGGGGTCACCCCAGGAGATGGGGGTCGAGGAAGGACCCGAGGGAGTAGAGAGGAGGAGACTCGCTGCCCCCATCCCGGACCCGCCCCACATGAGGTGAGGCCATCGACCCCTCCCTCCTCTGGGTCCCGGGGTCCTGCTGAGAGCGGTCGCCCGCTGGGCGTCCCGGGAGGGGGAGAAACAGGGAGGGGAGGCGACGGCGGGGTCGCAGCCCCAGGAGCTCACGGGGAGGCGAGGGCCCCCGCTCCCCGACCGCTGGCTGGCGGCGACCGCGGCGGGAAGGAGCGGTTCCTGTGCTCCCTCCGCCCCCTTCCCTCGCCTTCTACTGACGCTGACGTCGGGTGCGGGAGCTGACGCGGCTGGCTGGGGAGGCTCCGGGCCGGGGCTCCGAGTAGAAAAGAGGAGGAGGAGGAACCATGTCAGTTATCCCTGGGACTTACACCATCGATATCCCCAAGACAAGTCGGTTGTAAATAAGATGCAGCAGAAGTATTGGGAAACCAAGCAGGCCTTTATGAAAGCCACGGGGAAGAAAGGAGATGAGCGCGTCGTTGCCTCGGACGCAGACCTGGATGCCAAGCTAGAGCTGTTTCACTCAATTCAGAGAGCCTGTCTGGACTTGTCTAAAGCAATTGTACTCTATCAAAAGAAAGTATGTTTCTTGTCTCAAGAAGAAAACGAACTGGGAAAATTTCTCCGGTCCCAAGGCATCCAAGATAAAACCAGAGTGGGAAAAATGATGCCAGCGACAGGAAAGGCCCTCTGCTTTTCTTCCCAGCAAAGGTTGGCTCTGAGAAACCCTCTGTGCCGCTTTCACCAAGAAGTGGAGACTTTCCGGCATAGGGCCATCTCTGACACTTGTCTGACGGTGAACCGCATGGAGACGTTCAGGAAGATGCAAACACAAGTTCGCCTTGCCAAAAAAAAGCTTTGACAAATTGAAGATGGATGTGTGTCAAAAAGTGGATCTTCTTGGAGCGAGCAGATGCAATCTTTTGTCTCATGTGCTAGCAACATACCAGACCACTCTGCTTCATTTTGGGGAGGAAACTTCTCACACTATGGCAGCCATCCATGAGAGCTTCAGGGGTTATCAGCCATATGAATTTACCACGTTAAAGAGCTTACAAGACCCTATGAGAAAACCGGTGGAGAAAGAACAAAAGAGGATCGACCAGCAGGAAAGCGCAGAGGCCGCGGCAGCCAAGTCAGTTACTTTCACTGGAGGATGAAAACCAGCACAAGGAATCCTCTGGTTTTAAAACCGAAGATAGAAACAGGGTTGTATCTGCCTTAGACCAAAGCTCTGCACACAACGCGTGCTCAGATGAGCTTCTGGACATGAAACCCGACGAAAGTGCTTCCGGGGCCCGAGGGCAGGGACCCCAGAACCTGAAGGTGCTGACAAGGACGACCTGCTGCTGTTGAGTGAAATCTTCAACGCTTTCTCCCTGGAAGAGAGCGAGTTCAGCCAAGAGTGGGCCGCTGTGTTTGGAGACGGTCGGCTGAAGGAGCCGGCGCCCACTGCGGCCCCAGGAGAGCCGGACCCCAGGCCCCAGGCAGGCTCAGGATTCCTTCCTTCACAGCTTTAGAGCAAAACATAAAAGACTTACAGGCCTCGCTGGAAGAGCCTGCCAAGGCCGCCTCCGACCTGACTGCCTGGTTCAGCCTTTTTGCTGATCTCGACCCACTATCAAATCCCGATGCTGTTGGGAAAACCGATAAAGAATATGAATCACTCAGTGCATGAGTCTGCTGCCTCCGTCTGGGAGGTGGCCCACGAGTGGCTCCAGATCAACACGCTGGGGGCGCACGGATGTAGGAAGGGATCAGTATGCTGTTCTAATATTTACGTGCCATTTTAATAAAATGAAAGGGTCAGAGGCCCTGTTTATGAAAATAAAATAAGAATCTAAAAAGTTCAAACTTTTTATAGTCAAAAGTAGTGTCATTCAAAAAAAAGAAAAAAAAAGTAGTGTCATTCATAAAATTCAGCTGATTGTATCTGAATGTCAGTACCATTCACAGAATAATCTCTGAAGGAATAGTCCTCACAAGAAGCTGATCAATGGTAACTTTAATTATCAAAGTTTTTTTGTTTAATGGTGAAGTGTTTTAAAGGTAGAATTGTTAATAGTAAACTGCTAAAGAAATAAGCCAGTATTGTTTTGTACTTTGTTCTTTTAGAAATGTATATAAACTTAATAAAGCCATTGACTTAAATGTTAATAATGACTTAAGTTCTAACTTTAAAAACTGTATTTCCCCTTGCCCCAAATACTATATTCTAAAGATACGGCAAAATTTCAGTGTACAGTTATGTACAATGTGAAGATTGTACAGGTCTTCTGCATTGCAGGTGGATTCTTTATTGTCTGAGCTACCAGGGAAGCCCAAGAATACTGGAATGGATAGCCTATCCCTTCTCCAGGGGATCTTCCTGATCCAAGGATTGAACTGGGGTCTCCTGCACTGCAGGCAGATTCATTACCAGCTGAGCTACCAGGGAAGCCCTAATTATCACTTAAGTTCTAACTTTAAAAACTGTGTTTCCCCTTGCCCCAAATACTATATTCTAAAGATATGAAAAAAATTTCAGTACACAGCTATGTACAATGTGAAGATTGTAAATATCTAAAACAATAATAAGAGTTCTAAACTGAAATTGTATTACTATGACAAATCTTGAACTTTCTTTTTCAAATGAAAATACAGGAGTTCAGTATATTGTTTTTATTGGAGATAGCTTTAGATAATATTAAAGCATCATTTTGGTAGGTAATCTTCCAGAATTCTTCCTGTATGTTTGCCATCAAAGGAAAATTTTTTGTGTATATTTTTTCTTAAAATGTGTCAGTTTGTGCATGCTGCTTTTTCTTTACTGTTTAAATTGCAAATGTAGTGTATGACTGAATTTTACTTGTAAAAACATCAATCTATTTTTGATTAACATTCAATCCCAATACCTTCCCTAGAAGTAACAATTGTTAACTTTCCATTTAGTCACTTCCATGTTTTCTGTGAATGTACATATATGTAATTGCTACAAGAAATGTATAGCTTCAGTTTTTACATAGATATATGTATATCATTCTGCAACTTTTCTATGTGGTCTCTTTGAGTATAATCACACCTAATCTTACCTGTTGATTTTTGTATAGTGTTCCACAACCTACTTAGCCTATAATGGACACTAGGGTAGTTTACTGCTTTTTTTTCTATTTTCAAACAATGCTAAAAGAGTACCGTCCTGTATGACTGTGGGCATATAAGGGTTTCTCTATTGTATGCTTAAGCTTTGACTTGCTGAGCCAGAGTTAGGCAGTTTTAAAGAGATACTTCATTTGGCTTCCAAAATGGCTGTTAGCTGTTTAAAGTTTCTCCTCAACAGTGAATGAGTACCTGATCTCCATATAATTAAGGACATTTGATTTTTTATTAATTTTTTTTTAATTTATAGGTGAAAAATTGTCATCTTTATTATTTAGGAAAAACCTTTACTAGTAGGTAAAGGTAAAGATGGACATCTTTTCAAATATTGATGGACATCTTTTCATATATTTGCTTTTGACATGTGAATTGCCTTTTGCCAACACTGCTCATTTTTCTGTGAATGATTTGTCTTTTTATCTCATGGATTAGTTAGGAGTTTTTCATGTAGTTTGCATATAGATATTACTCTTTTACATCTGTTTCATTGTTTTCTTCCAGCTGGTCACTTGTCTTTTAGTTTTACTTTTGGTATCTTTTTTAAACAGATGTTTTATATTTATATATAGTTAAATTGACAAATATTTTTATGACTTTTATTTCAAAATATAGATAGAGCATGTCTGTATTTTCTTCTAAGTTAATTATGTATGCATCCAGATCTCCATTTGGAATTAATTTCTGTGAAGAGTGCAAGGTACAGAGCTACTTTTATTCAAAAGTCCAAAAACTATTTGTTGAAATCCATTCTTCCTGGTTTGGGGTGCTGTTTTATTATGTGTTAAATTCTCTAATTAAGGCATTTAATTTTCCTAATAAATAATGCATTGTTTAAATTATAGTTTTCTGGTATGTTTTCAGAAATGGTGGGAGTGATACATTCCTAATGTTTTTCAGAAGTCTCTTGGCTGTTGGTGAGCATATTTTTGAGGTTTTGATTTTAGTCACAGTACATTTATAGTACTGATTTGAAGAGAATTACAGTTGACCCTAAGCAGGAAGTTAGGGGTGCCACCTTTCATGCAGTCAAATCTGAGTATAATTTATGGTTGGCTCTCCATACTTGCAGTTCCTCCATATCTGTGGTTCTGCATCTGTACTATATGATCTGAACTCAACTAACTACAGATTGTACATACTTGGGGGGAAAAAATGTATAAGTGGACCACACAGTTCAAACCTCTGTTGTGTTGTTTAAGGGTCAACCCTGCAATAGTATTTCTCTGCTATTTCTCTACTGTTGCAGAGTTGGCCCTTAAAAAACACAGGTTTGAACTGTGTGGTCCACTTATTCGTGTGCTTCCACTGTGGCTCAACTGGTAAAGAATCCGCCTGCAATGCAGGAGATCTGGGTTCGATCTCTGGGTTGGGAAGATCCCCTGGAGAAGGGAAAGTCTACCTACTCCAGTATTCTGACCTGGAGAATTACATGGATTGTATAGTCCATGGGGTCACAAAGAGTCGGACATGACTGAGCAACTTTCACTTTTCACTTGAAAACAATCTGTATTTTCATTAAACCAGGCATGGTATTCTCTTAATTTAATAAGATTTCTTTATATAATTATGCATTTTTTGAAAGATTTAATTCTGGGGATTTTATTTTCATTGCTACAGTGAAATATGTCTTTTTTCTAATGTATCTTATGATTGATTATTGCTGTCCTGGTAAAAGCAATTTGCTTTTTACAAGGTTATCTTTTATGACACTGCAGAACTCTTAAAAGTTTGTCAGTATAGATTTAGGAAATCCAAGAGAATCCCATCTTCTGAAATTAATGAGCCTTTGTTTTTTAATCCAGTATTCATATTTCAGGACTTGCCAGATAGTACAGTAGTGAAGAATTTGCTTGCCAATGCAGGAGGTGCAAGAGACATGGGTTCCATCCCTGGGTCAGGAAGATCCCCTGGTGTTAGAAGTGGTAACCTACTCCAGTATCCTTGCCTGGAAAACTCCACAGGCAGAGGAGCCTGGTGGGCTGCAGTCCGTGGAAGAGTTCGACATGACTGAGCACACACAAACATTCCTATTTCACGTGGTTGTGTTTAGTTAGAATTGCTTTAGCAATCCAGCACAGAATGTTGGATACTAGCAGTGCTTAGAGATGTTTGTGTTTGTGTGGTTGTTGACAAGTGGAAATGCTTTTATGTTCCACCATTAAGGATAATGTATGCTCTGAATTTCTGGTAGATAGCCTTGGTTAAGTTCTGCTACTTAAAAATATTTAGACTAGAGGTAAATATTATATGATTATACAGTAGAAGTGACAGATAGATTCAAGGGTTTAGATATGATAGACAGAGTGCCTAAAGAATGATGGACAGAGGTTCATGACATTGTACCTGAGGCAGTGATCAAGACCATCCCCAAGCAAAAGAAGTGCAAAAAGGCAAGACTGTTGTCTGAGGAGGCCTTACAAATAGCTGAGAAAAGAAGAGAAGCTAAGAAGCTAAAGGCAAAGGAGAAAAGGAAAGATATCCTCATGTGAATGCAGAGTTCCAAAGAATAGCAAGGAGAGATAGAAAGCCTTCTTCAGTGGTCAATGCAAAGAAATAGAGGAAACTAATAGAATGGGAAAGACTAGAGATCTCTTCAAGAAAATTGGAGATACCAAGGGAACATTTCAGGCAAAGACAGACACAATAAAGGACAGAAATGGTATGGACCTAACAGAAACAGAAGATATTAAGAATAGGTGACAAGAATACACAGAAGAACTGTATAAAAAAGATCTTCATGACCCAGATAATCACAATGGTGTGATCACTCACCCAGAGCCAGACATCCTGGAATGTGAAGTCAAGTGGGTCTTAGAAAGCATCACTACAAACAAAGCTAGTGGAGGTGATTGAATTTCACTTGAGCTATTTCAAATCCTAAAAGATGATGCTGTGAAAGTGATGCGCTCAATGTGCCAGCAAATTGGGAAAACTCAGCAGTGGCCACAGGACTGGAAAAGGTTGGTTTTCGTTGTAATCCCAAAGAAAGGCAATGTCAAAGAATGCTCAAACTACTGCACAATTGCACTCATCTCACATGCTAGCAAAGTAATGCTCAAAATTCTCCAAGACAGGCTTCAACAATATGTGAACCACAAACTTCCAGATGTTCAAGCTGGTTTTAGAAAAGGCAGAGGAACCAGAAATCAAATTGCCAACATCTGCTGTATCATCTAAAAAGCAAGAGAGTTCTAGAAAAACATCTACTTCTGCTTTATTGACTATGCCAAAGCCTTTGACTGTGTGGATCACAATAAACTGTGGAAAATTCTGAAAGCTATGGGAATAACCAGACCACCTGACCTGCCTCCAGAGAAATCTGTATGCATGTCAAGAAGCAACAGTTAGAACTGGACTTGGAGCAACAGACTGGTTCCAAATAGGAAAAGGAGTACATCAAGGCTGTATATTGTCACCTTGCTTATTTAACTTATATGCAGAGTACATTATGAGAAATGCTGGGCTGGAAGAAGCATAAGCTGGAATCAAGATTGCTGGGAGAAATATCAATAACCTCAGATATGCAGTTGATGCCACCCTTATGGCAGAGAGTGAAGATGAACTAAAGAGCCTCTTGATGAAAGTGAAAGAGGAGAGTGAAAATGTTGGCCTAAAGCTCAACATTCAGATAACTAAGATTGGCATCACTCCCATCACTTCATGGCAAATAGATGGGGAAACAGTGAATGACTTTATTTGGGGGGGCTCCAAAATGACTGCAGATGATGACAGCAGCCATGAAATTAAGATGCTTGCTCCTTGGAAGGAAAGTTATGACCAACCTAGACAGCTTGTTAAAAAGCATAGCCATTACTTTGTCAACAAAGGTCTGTCTAGTCAAGGCTATGGTTTTTCCAGTGGTCATGTATGAATGTGAGAGTTCGACTGTGAAGAAAGCTGAGCACCGAAGAATTGAGAGTTGGACTGTGAAGAAAGCTGAGCACCGAAGAATTGATGCTTTTGAACTGTGGTGTTGGAGAAGACTCTTGAGAGTCCCTTGGACTGCAAGGAGATCCGATCAGTCCTGGATGTTTACCGGAAGGACTGACGCTGAAGCTAAAATTCCAATACTTTGGCCACCTGATGCAAAGAGCTGGCTCATTTGAAAAGTCCCTGATGCTGGGGAAGATTGAAGGCAGAAGGGGATGACAGAAGATGAGATGGTTGAATGGCATCACTGACTCAGTGGACATGAGTTTGGGTAAACTCAGGGAGTTGGTGATGCACAGGGAGGCTTGGTGTGCTGCAGTCCATGGGGTCGCAGAGATTCGGACACAACTGAGCGACTGAACTGAACTGATACAAAAAAGATTTTTACGACCCAGATAACCACAATGTTGTGATCACTCACCTAGAACCAGACAGACTGGAGTGTGAAGTCAAGTGGTCCTTAGGAGGCATCACTATGAACAAAGCTAATGGAGGTGATGGAATTCCAATTGAGTGATTCAAATTGTAAAAGATGATGCTGTTAAAGTGCTGCACTCAAGATACTGGCAAATTTGGAAAACTCGGCAGTGGCCCAGGACCACTGAAAAGGTCAGTTTGGATTACAATCCCAAAGCAGTGAAATGCCAAAAAATGTTCAAACTACTGCACCATTGCACTCATCTCACATGCTAGCAAAGTAACACTCAAAATTGTCCAAGCCAAGCTTCAACAGTACATGAACTAAGAACTTTCAGATGTTCAAGATGGATATAGGAAAGGCAGAGAAACCAGAGGTTGAAAAGCCAACATCAGTTGGATCATAGAAAAAGGAAGAGAGTTCAGAAAAACATCTACTTCTGCTTTATTGACTTGTATTCCAAAGACTTTGTGTGGACCACAACAAAGTGTGGAAAATTTTTCAAGAGGTGGAAATACCAGACCATCTTACCTGCTTCATGAGAAATCTGTATTCAGGTCAAGAAGCAACTGTTAGATTTGGACATGGAACAGCAGACTGGTTCCAAATTGGGAAAGGAGTACATCAAGACTGTATATTGTCATCCTGCTTATTTAACTTATATGCAGAGTATATCACGTGAAATTCTGGGCTGGATGAAGCACAAGCTGGAATTAAGATTGCCAGGAGAAATATCAATAACCTCAGACAAGCAGATGACACCATCCTTATGGCAGAAAGTGAAGAGGAACTAAAAACCTCTTGGTGAAGGTGAAAGAGGAGAGTGAAAAAGCTTGCTTAAAACTCAACATTCAAAAAACTAAGATCATGGCATCTGGTCCCATCACTTCATGACAAATAGATGGAGAAACAGTGGAAACAGTGACAGACTTTATTTGTTTGGGCTCCAAAATAACTGCAGATGGTGAAGCAGCCATGAAATTAAAAGATGCTTGCTCCTTGGAAGAAAAGTTATGACCAACCTAGACAGCATATTAAAAAGCACATATGTTACTTTGCTGACAAAGGTGTGTCTAGTCAAAGCTATGGTTTATTCAGTAGTCATGTGTGGATGTGAGAGTAGGACCACAAAGAAAGCTGAGCGCTGAAGAATTGGTGCTTTTGAACTGTGGTGTTGGAGAAGATCCTTGACAGTCCT